GCAAGGGGAAAACTAACCTTGGAATGATGTACCTCCATCCCTATACCAGCGGGTTTGGGTTTCTTCTACTCCATCAGCATCTTAAACGCCGAATATTGCTTGTGGGCCGGGGTGTCAATGCCCCTATGGTTAACCTTCCTTTAATATTACATTGCGGTCATTTCCTTTAATAGCTAAATTGGAAATGAACGTCCTTGTATTATTAAATTAATTCTTATTAACAATTATAATTTATGTAACATGGCCATGATAAGTTTAATTGGAGCTATAGTAACCTGCCTGCCGCCCGGTGTGCCGGTGTGTAGTTAGCCGTGATGTTCGATGGTTATACCCCCCCCCTCCCCCCCCCCCCCCCTCTCTTCCACTACCTACTGAGTGTTGTGAGTCACGTCACGTGACCCACTTAACCCTGTATGCTCAAGTTAGTGGACGAGCAGTGAAGAAGTAGCAGCCAACGAGAACACTCCTGCTCGTCTCTGGTAACTGGCCAAGATTTATTAGCCGGCCTGGACATATTCTGTTTTATTCTGACTGCTTCCAATTGGGAAACAAGACTTTAATGTATAAAGTAATCTCCATTTATATATATGTTATATCTAGGATATCCTCCTAATCCTCTGTTTTGAAAGCCTTATGTATATGTTGGATACTACAGAAGAAACATGTATTCTTAACTTATATACGATAATTCGTATATTATAACTGGCTTTTGTTATATTATGAATATACTTAATTAAAATTAGGCATTCCGGAGGATCATTATTATTACCCTAACCTCTCTGACCAAAATTGTTATGCCCCAAAAAAGGAAATAGTTGTTACAATACTTGGAGTGTAACAGCAGAGGTCCTGTCAAACCCACATGGGGCTAAAACAAAGACAGGGAGCACACTAGGACAAAATGTGAGGTTGGAAGACATTGAAGGAACTAGGACATGTGCAGGGACCTCACCAGACACCTGTGGGGGCCAGGAGCAGGTGAGCAGGAAGGAGAAATCAAGGAGCATAGGGGCCATAGCTAGGGAAATGACTGAAGGAAGGAACACTCCATGGGAAGAAACTAAAACACATCAGAGGAGGCAATGGGAGTCACAGTGGGAGGTGGAAAGGGAGAGATCAGTGTTTGTCTATGGGCTAGACGAAGCTAAAGGGGAAACTTATGAGGAAAGAAAGCAGGAGGAGAAAAAAGCGATTGAAGGTATCATGAAGGTGATAGGCGAGGGGGAAATGACCCAGGTGGCAAATTTTCAGAGAATCGGGTGGTTCACAAAGAAAAGGAATCGGCCTCTCAAAGTAATTTTCAAGGCAGAATCAACCCGAACCATGATCCTGCAGGAGAAAGCACGGCTGAGAGGCAAGCAGGAGTTCATGAGTGTACCTCGATCGAGACAGAACACAGGAGGAAAGGAAGACGATGAAAGAGAGAGTTCAGAAACGAAAGGAGAAATGGGAGGAAATGAAAAAGGAGAGCAGAATAACCCAGGAACAAGTGGAAGGACAAGCACACCCCCCAGAAACGCCTGCAGAAGGACCCCAGCCATGACACCCCCAAGGCAACTGAACAATCCAATCCAACCATCACACACCGATCCCTCTGTTTCCCCCCCCCCCGCACCACAGTTACAGTATTAGAACAGAAGCTGAAGGTTTGATACACAAATGCAGATGGATTAACGAATAAACATGAGGAATGGCAAGAAAGAATCAATGAGACGTCCCCACACATCATAGCAGTTACAGAGACAAAACTCACGGGAACAATAACAGATGCAATCTTCCCACCAGGGTACCAGATCATGAGGAAAGATAGAAAGGGCAGAGGGGGAGGTGGGGTTGCTCTTCTAGTAAAAAACAGATGGAAATTCGAGAAAATGGAAGGCATAGATGAGATGGGAGAAAGAGACTACATAGTAGGTACACTTCAGTCTAGGGAACACAAGGTCATTGCAGTGATGTATAATCCACCACAGAACTGCAGGAGGCCAAGAGAGGAATATGAAGAGAGCAACAGAGCAATGGTGGACACACTTGCTGAGGTGGCAAGAAGAGCTCACTCCAGCAGAGCAAAGTTGCTGGTTATGGGGGATTTCAACCACAGGGAGATTGACTGGGAAAACCTGGAGCCACATGGGGGTCCCGAAACATGGAGAGCCAAGATGATGGACGTGGTGCTGGAAAACCTCATGCGCTAACATGTTAATGACACTACCAGAGTGAGAGGGGAGGATGAACCAGCAAGATTGGACCTTGTGTTCACCCTGGGCAGTTCAGACATTGAGGACATCATGTATGAGAGTCCCCTAGGAGCTAGCGACCACATGGTTCTGTGCTTTGAATATAAAGTAGAGCTGCAAGTGGAGAGAGTAACAGGAGTTGAATGGGAAAAGCCTGACTATAAAAGAGAGGACTACATTGGGTTGAGGAACTTCCTGCAGGAGGTCCCGTGGGACGGAGAACTGGCAGGAAAGCCAGTAAATGAAATGATGGAATATGTAACAACAAAATGCAAGGAGGCAGTGGAAAGGTTTATTCCCAAGGGCAACAGAAGCAACAGGAAGACCAGAACGAGTCCCTGGTTTACCCGACGGAGTAAGGAAGCAAAAACAAAGTGCAATAGAGAATGGAAAAAGTACAGAAGGCAGAGAACACACGAAAATAGGGAGATCAGTCGCAGAGCCAGGAACGAGTACGCACAGGTAAGGAGGGAGGCCCAGAGACAGTATGAAAATGACATAGCATCGAAAATCAAGACTGACCCGAAACTGTTGTATAGCCACATCAGGAGGAAGACAACAGTCAAAGACCAGGTGATCAGATTAAGGACAGAAGGGGGAGAACTCACAAGAAATGACCAGGAGGTATGTGAGGAGCTAAACAGGAGCTTTAAGGAAGTTTTTACAGTAGAGACAGGAAGGGCTGTGGGAAGTCAGTACAGAAGGGAACATCAAGAGGGAATATACCACCAAGTGTTGGATGACATACGAACAACCGAGGAGGAGATGAAGAAGCTGCTAAGTGACCTTGATACCTCAAAGGCGATGGGACCGGACAACATCTCCCCATGGGTCCTTAGAGAAGGAGCAGAGATGCTGTGCATGCCTCTAACCACAATCTTCAACATATCCCTCGATACTGGGCAACTACCTGAGAAATGGAAGACAGCAAATGTAGTCCCCATATTTAAGAAAGGAAACAGAAATGAGGTGCTAAACTACAGACATGTGTCTCTGACATGTATTGTGTGCAAAGTCATGGAGAAGATTATCAGGAGGAGAGTGGTCGAACACCTGGAACGGAACAAGATTATAAATGAAAACCAGCATGGGTTCATGGAAGGCAAATCTTGTATCACAAACCTCCTGGAGTTTGATGACAAGGTGACAGAAGCGAGACACGAGAGAGAGGGGTGGGTTCGTTGCGTTTTCCTAGACTGCAGGAAGGCCTCTGACACAGTTCCTCACAAGAGATTATTGCAGAAGCTGGAGGATCAGGCGCATGTAACAGGGAGGGTATTGCAGTGGATCAGGGAATACCTGACAGGGAGGCAGCAACGAGTCATGGCACGTGAAGAGGTATCACAGTGGGCGCCTGTGACGAGCGGGGACCCACAGGGGTCAGTTCTAGGGCCAGTGCTATTTTTGATATATGCGAACGACATGATGGAAGGAATATACTCTGAAGTGTCCCTATTCGCAGATGATGTGAAGTTGATGAGAAGAATTGAATCGGATGAGGATAGGGCAGGACTGCAAAGAGACCTGGACAGGCTGGACATGTGGTCCAGAAACTGGCTTCTCGAATTCAATCCTGCCAAATGCAAAGTCATGAAGATTGGGGAGGGACAAAGAAGACCGCAGACAGAGTATAGGTTAGGTGGACAAAGACTACAGACCTCACTCAGGGAGAAAGACCTCTGGGTGACCATAACACCAAGCACGTCACCGGAGGCACACATCAACCAAATAACTGCTGCAGCATACGGGCGCCTGGCAAACCTGAGAATAGTGTTCCGATACCTAAATAAGGAATCGTTCAAGACACTGTACACTGTGTATGTTAGGCCCATACTGGAGTATGCAGCACCAGTCTGGAACCCACACCTGGTCAAGCACGTCAAGAAGTTAGAGAAAGTAAAAAGGTTTGCAACAAGGCTAGTCCCAGAGCTCAGGGGAATGTCGTACGAGGAAAGGTTGAGGGAAATCGGACTGACAACACTGGAGGACTGAAGGGTCAGGGGAGACATGATAACGACATACAAGATACTGCGGGGTATAGATAATGTGGACAGAGATAGGATGTTCCAGAGAGGGGACACAGGAACAAGGGGTCACAACTGGAAGCTGAAGACTCAGACGAGTCACAGGGACGTTAGGAAGTATTTCTTCAGTCATAGAGTTGTCAGCAAGTGGAATAGCCTAGCAAGTGAAGTAGTGGAGGCAGGAACCATACATAGTTTTAAGAAGAGGTATGATAAAGCTCAGGAAGCAGAGAGAGAGAGGACCTAGTAGCAATCAGTGAAGAGGTGGGGCTAGGAGCTGAGTCTCGACCCCTGCAACCACAATTAGGTGAGTACAATTAGGTGAGTACACAATCACACATTGAAGACACAGATGAGTCAGAGAGATATTAGGAAGTATTTCTTCAGTCATAGAGTTGTTAAGCAGTGGAATACCCTAGAAAGTGATGTAGTGGAGGCAGAAACCATACATAGTTTTAAGACGAGGTATGATAAAGCTCATGGAGCGCGAAGAGAGAGGACCCAGTAGCAACCGGTGAAGAGGCAGGGCCAGGAGCTATTACTCGACCCCTGCAACCACAAATAGGCGAGTACACACACTTTTTCTCATGCACACACTCACACACACACACACACACACACACATTCACACATGCACGCACGTGCACACTTTTCTATTCATTGCGTGTGTTTTTAATATATAATGTGAAAATATTTTTATTGGATTTTGAGATAATGATTCTTTTCATTGCTTTCCATATAGAGCTGGAAGTGAGCTTAGAGAAAGATAGAGCAGCCTGGGAGAGAGTCGTGCTCAACAGTGTGCCAGAGAAGTGTGTGCTGCCACCACCCTGGAGTCACCTCCCACACATACCTTGGCTCATACTTATTTCTGCCATCAGACAAGATAAGGTGCGGTAAACATATATTCTAACTACCACTTAAACTTATTTCATAGTAAGTTGAAATGTCAAGTGACATTAAAAAATATCAAAATTTCATTTAGATTCGAATATTTATTTGCATAAAGTTCCATTTAAGCACAAAAAAGCCCATATTATCCTTAAATATCAGAAAAGATATTAGATATTTCTGATATATTTCTAATTTAAATGTATCTTATATTACAAGTAGCGAAAATAAATTGGTTTATATAGAGATAGTTTACAAGAGGAAATAGTAAATGCTAGAGTGCAATAACTTTCTGTACTTTAATAGAGTAATTACTAAGATGAGAGTCCATGAGGTTACCTTGATATACTTTCTGAAGTCACTCCTCCAAGAACAACACTTCCATAAATTATTTTTTAAGCTATTCAGAAAACTCTTTGTTTCTTTAACATGAATAAAAATTAAATGCTGCATTATGTATTAGAATATAAAGAAAAAATAATGAAAATGTAATGTTATGTTAGTTACATTGTACTATTCAATAATAATAATAATAATAATAATAATAATAATAATAAAATAATAATAATAATAATAATAATTCTAGGTTACATGGGCGGTGAAAATGATTATTGAAGAGGTTCTCGGGCCTCAGTTTGTAACTGCGTCTCCTGGCGATGTCAGTAGATATTTGGAGGCTCCTGTTAATGTGAAAACGTCATCTCATAGTCCGGGTGTTCCCCGGGCACCAGTACCCCTTCTGCTGGTGACTACTCCGGGTGTTGATGCCCTGCAGGACGTGATGTTGCTGGCTAGTCGCAAACCTGATGTTACCGTCACCAATGTATCTCTTGGTCAAGGACAGGTATAAAATGAAGTGTTCTTAGTGTGGTAACATTGTTTGCAGAGGTTGAGTCGTACTGCTGTTTATAAAACAGCAGTACATGTGTTTAGTATTTACATGTTTAGTGTGATTTAACAATAAATGTAATTTAAATATAATACAAATTTATAGATATAAATGTAGAACATGTAATTTATAAAAGTAACTAAAAAAATAGCTTCCTGAAATACTATAACAGTCACAAACATCACTTTCTAACCTTCATATCTCTGTCAATTATAATCTCACTCTTGTCCTGTTACACTTCTAAAATCAAGGAGAGTATTTTTTACTTTTCTATTAAAAATTAAAAATTGCAAGCACTTAGGACCTTCAGTAATTTAAGGAATAATACAATGAATAATACAAATGCTAGAATTATGAAGTGGGCTTAATACATACAACCTTTCAATATTATCACATACCACATAAATGGACCCATATATGTGTTATATGGTACCCTTAATTTTGTATATAGCAGAGTAACTTATTTATCCAGAAGTTACTGTTTTAAATAAATGTACTACAACAAAGAGAACTTATGGGACCACAGTTTACTGTCACTCTTCCAGTGGCAATAATTGTAAGTACATTGGTGCCCTTAATAAATACAGATTATTTTTACAATACTTCACGTGTATTTGTTACCACTGTTGCAAGAGTGACAGAGTTACCCTTGATAGCTAGCCACAAAGTTACACTTGCTAGTCACAAAGTTATCTCTGATAGCTAACCACAAACTTACCCCTCATAGCTAGCCACAAAGTTACCTCTGCTAGTCATAAAGTTTCCCTTGACAGTTATCCTTGCTAACTAACCACAAAGTTATCCCTGCTAACTAACCACAAAGTTATCCCTGCTAACTAACCACAAAGTTATCCCTGCTAACTAACCACAAAGTTATCCCTGCTAACTAACCATAAAGTTATCCCTGCTAACTAACCACAAAGTTATCCCTGCTAACTAACCACAAAGTTTATCCCTGCTAAATAACCACAAAGTTATCCCTGCTAACTAACCATAAAGTTATCCCTGCTAACTAACCATAAAGTTATCCCTGCTAACTAACCATAAAGTTATCCCTGCTAACTAACCACAAAGTTATCCCTGCTAATTAACCACAAAATTATCCCTGCTAATTAACCACAAAGTTATCCCTGCTACCTAACCACAAAGTTATCCCTGCTACCTAACCACAAAGTTATCCCTACTAACTAACCTCAAAATTATCCCTGCCAACTAACCACAAAGTTATCCCTGCTTACTAACCACAAAGTTATCTCTGCTAACTAACCACAAAGTTATCCCTGCTAACTAACCACAAAGTTATCCCTGCTAACTAACCACAAAGTTATCCCTGTTAACTAACCAGAAAGTTATCCCTGCTAACTCATCACAAAGTTATCCCTGTTAACTCATCACAAAGTTATCCCTGCTACCTAACCACAAAGTTATCCCTGCTAACTAACCACAAAGTTATCCCTGCTAACTAACCACAAAGTTATCCCTGCTAACTAACCACAAAGTTATCCCTGCTAACTAACCACAAAGTTATCTCTGCTAACTAACCACAAAATTATTCCTGCTAACTAACCACAAAGTTATCCCTGCTAACTAACCACAAAGTTATCCCTGCAAAACTATCCACAAAGTTATCCCTGCTAACTAACCACAAAGTTATCCCTGCTTACTAACCACAAAGTTATCTCTGCTAACTAACCACAAAGTTATCTCTGCTAACTAACCACAAAGTTATCCCTGCTAACTAACCACAAAATTATTCCTGCTAACTAACCACAAAGTTATCCCTGCTAACTAACCACAAAGTTATCCCTGCTAACTAACCACAAAGTTATCCCTGCTAACTAACCACAAAGTTATCCCTGCTTACTACCCACAAAGTTATCTCTGCTAACTAACCACAAAGTTATCTCTGCTAACTAACCACAAAGTTATCCCTGCTAACTAACCACAAAGTTATCCCTGTTAACTAACCAGAAAGTTATCCCTGCTAACTCATCACAAAGTTATCCCTGTTAACTCATCACAAAGTTATCCCTGCTACCTAACCACAAAGTTATCCCTGCTAACTAACCACAAAGTTATCCCTGCTAACTAACCACAAAGTTATCCCTGCTAACTAACCACAAAGTTATCCCTGCTAACTAACCACAAAGTTATCTCTGCTAACTAACCACAAAATTATTCCTGCTAACTAACCACAAAGTTATCCCTGCTAACTAACCACAAAGTTATCCCTGCTAACTAACCAAAAAGTTATCCTGCTAACTAACCACAAAGTTATCCCTGCTAACTAACCACAAAGTTATCTCTGCTAACTAACCACAAAATTATTCCTGCTAACTAACCACAAAGTTATCCCTGCTAACTAACCACAAAGTTATCCCTGCTAACTAACCACAGAGTTATCTCTGCTAACTCACCACAAAGTTATCCCTAATAATTAACCACAAAGTTATCTCTGCTAACTAACCACAAAATTATCCCTACTAACTAACCACAAAGTTATCCCTGCTAACTAACCACAAAGTTATCCATGCTAACTAACCACAAAGTTATCCCTGCTACCTAACCACGAAGTTATCCATGCTACCTAACCACAAAGTTATCCATGCTAACTAACCACAAAATTATTCCTGCTAACTAACCACAAAGTTATCCCTGCTACCTAACCACAAAGTTATCCCTGCTAACTAACCACAAAACAATAGTTACTCTTGGGAATGTATCAGTTAGGTTCGTTTATGTGTGGAGTTATGCCAACTTGTTATTCATATATTTATATAATTTATTCTCATTGATACATGTGTCTTATCTATTTTTAAGTTACTTAAGTTTTTTTTTTTTCAATTACACTACTTTTCTTTTTATTTCATTTACCTACTACTATTACCAAACAATTACTAGTGTGTATTCTTTCAAATTATGATTGTATGCAATATGAAACAAATGTTTTAAGATTATTTTTTGTTCGATTCCCTCAGCACCTTTTTCTAACACACCGACCGTCTCCCACCGAGATGGGTGACCCGAAAATAAAGAGAAAACACACTCGTCGCCACTCACTTAATTTTTATGTTGCTAGAAATGTGTAGACATCACAATTCAAATGACAGTATACTTCCCACCTCCAGACCTGCAACACTCTTACCCATCCTTCACGATGCAGATACTGTACTTCTCACCTCCAGAACTGCAACATTCTTACCAATCCTTCAGGATGCAGTTACTGTACTTCCCACCTCCAGACCTGCAACATTCTTACCCATCCTTCAGGATGCAGTTACTGTATTTCCCACCTCCAGACCTGCAACACTCTTACCCATCCTTCACGATGCAGATACTGTACTTCCCACCTCCAGAACTGCAACATTCTTACCAATCCTTCAGGATGCAGTTACTGTACTTTCCACCTCCAGACCTGCAACACTCTTACCCATCCTTCACGATGCAGATACTGTACTTCCCACCTCCAGAACTGCAACATTCTTACCAATCCTTCAGGATGCAGTTACTGTACTTTCCACCTCCAGACCTGCAACACTCTTACCCATCCTTCACGATGCAGATACTCTACTTCCCACCTCCAGAACTGCAACATTCTTACCAATCCTTCAGGATGCAGTTACTGTACTTTCCACCTCCAGACCTGCAACACTCTTACCCATCCTTCACGATGCAGATACTCTACTTCCACCTCCAGAACTGCAACAGTTTCATCCTTCCTTCAGAGGGCTGGCACTGTACTACATTTTTCCAGGACTCATGTCTTACTTATATCCTCTTTGTATATACCTGCCTATCACTTGTGCACCTCTTTGTTTATACCTGCCAACCACTTGTGCACCTCTTTGTTTATACCTGCCTACCACTTGTACACCTCTTTGTTTATACCTGCCAACCACTTGTACACCTCTTTCTTTATACCTGCCTACCACTTATAACCTCTTTGTTGTCTTGTTGTTCAGTCAGGTGTGGCCGAAGCAGCGGTGGGTGCTAGTACCCGTGAAGGCGGGTGGGTGGTACTGCAGAACCTACACCATGCTTTGGATTGGCTGCCAACCCTTGCTAACATTATTACACGACTTTATAGTAGTAACGCTAGGAGCCTAACATCTACTGATACTACCGTCCTCAATCACAATTTCCGACTTATCCTCACCAGTGAGCCCACAGATGAGGTATGTATGATTCTTTTGTTTCTGTGGTGTACAGAAACTGCTCAGGGAGGTCTTACACTCCTGACATGTAAATATGAAACAGAATCCTGTTAAACGTTTTGCACTCTGGCAGAATGTTAGTAGACAGGAACCCATCTAGTGCGGTACTTTCATCTTGTCATATGTGAATCAGAAGCATGTTAAATGTTTTGCACTCTTGACAGTAGGTTGGTAGACAGAAGCCATCCGGTAGGCTGGTAGACAGTAAAGACTCAGGGATGTACTACCTCCTGTTTTATGGGGATGAAACAAGAGTCTTGGTAAACGTTTTGCACTCTGATAAATGTTTTGCAGTCTGGTATGTTTAGCACTGGTAAATACACAAATAACCCGCACATAAAAGAGAGAAGCTTACGACGACGTTTCGGTCCGAGTCGGACTGAAACGTCGTCGTAAGCTTCTCTCTTTTATGTGCGGGTTATTTGTGTATCGTTCCAGTCACGGTATTTTGCCTTTTTTTGTTATATATGGGCACCCTGGTAAATGTTTCCTACCCGAGTAAATGTATTGCACTCTGCACATTTTTGCATCTCTCATTCAGGGAGATATTACCCTTCTGCCACGTGAGTGTGAAATAGATGCTGTTAAATATATTGTTCTCTTGCAGTCGTAGTAAACAGTAACTATCCAGATAGGTACTATCCTCCTCCCACTTGAGCATCAATCAGAAAGCTGTTAAGTTTCTGGTGGTCGGTTGGTAGAAATAACACATGTAGAGAGGTGCTACCCTTTTGTCACATGAGTGATTAATGTTTTACACTCTAGTAGTTGGATGGTGAGCAGTAACCCTTCAAGGAAACATGTTAAAAATTTTGTACTCTGAGAGGATTGTTTTTTTCTCTTTCTGTCCCATGAACACATAAGATGAAAAGCAAATTATCATAATCAGGGGACATTGTTAAACTTATAGAGTAATACAGTGTAATTGGAAGAGTAGGCAGACAAGTTCGTTACAAGGAATACAAGAACAGGTCCACATTTTTGGAGCAAAATCCCATCATTCCTTGAGGAAAGATAAATGGTAAAATATTATAAACTTATGTACTAGTATTCATTATTTATCTGACATTTTTTTTTCTAGAGAATTCAGCTCAAACAGTGTCCCGGAAAAACATCAGAAATAAAGTTTGATAAATTTTATGGGATTAACTGGTGGGTTTTTCCCGTAGTCCTGCTGGATGATTTCAGACAAACAAGTTACTGATAGTGTACTAGTACTTTATTTTGAACAAAATTAGGTAGATAGTTCCATAAACAATCTTTTGTCTTACATTTAACAAAATCTCAAAGTCTTCATTTGAGTCATACACAGAGATTTCAGTTGATGTCCTGTAGTTAACACATCTGCACTCGCTGCAAGCAGATGAACATCTTGAATGGCAGTCTGTTTTACACTCACAGCTGACCACCTTTATGCAGAGTTTGGTGGGGCTGGCAAGGTTGTAGTTATTGGTTGAAGTTACTCCTGAACTTTACTCCACCTCAAGTTTCAGTATTCAATTGTTCATTGTTCATGCTCATCCTCCAGTGAACTTGGAGGTAGACTCGAGAAGAATGGAACAGGACAGCTGCTGATATGAGATGTAGAGTCTGAAGTCTTTCTTCTCCGTAAATCGTCGGTATTTCAGTCCACAGCGACCACTAAAGAGATAAAAGTGCACCTCACCAGCATTATGTATTTCTTCCATGGTGGACTTACTGCTACAGAGGACTTCTGCCTGCTTCTTAAAAGTAGTCATTCAACTTCTTCAGATTTAAGCTGTGAAGGCTTACTCAGCCCTGTAACAACTTCAGACAGTATTACCCAGGCTGGCTCCTCCTCAGGAAAATTAGTGAATAGAAAAAGAAATAATAACAGACAAACATAAACACTTTATTATGTAGAAAATATAAAATATAAAACACTTAAATATGAAATATTAATCCTACATTAAAGAAAATGAAAAAGGAAAAATATAAATGATAACTGAATTCAACGCTAATTTAACACTTGGGTGTCTGGTGTTGGTGACACTGCTTGTTGAAATCGTAGCCGTTGCTGATGATGGGGGGGGGGGGTCGCAGGTGTTGGTGACCACCACTGGCTAGTTCTTCACAGATTGACGCTGTGAGTAGTATCCCGATGACAGGAAAGCAGGTTCTTTACCGCTGCAATGATGTGGGGTTACGTCCTGCAATTTCATACAGGTGCACAGGTAATTAGATCCAAAATGGAGAAGCCTCTGGACGTTAGTCCTTCTCCTGTTCTTCTCGTTGATTGACAGGTGACCCTCACTGTCATCCAAGAGTAGTGTTGGGAGCTGCGAGTCGAGTGATTTACTGTTTGACCAGAGCCCCATACGTCACCTTTCGAGGGGGGGGGAAGAGGGAGGGGAAGGGATAGCGGGAGCTAGACTGACCCTACGTTAACAAGCAGCCGGCAATCAAACTATCACTTTAGGGGTGGGGGAGAAAAGGCGGGAAAAACGGGAGCGTGACTTACCCTACCTTAACTAGTAACCGGCAATGAAACTATTGTTACTATATTGCTACTCCTATCTATTGAACTTTTCCCTCACATAAGCCTTTTCCGATGTGAAAGATGTGTGATATGTGCTATCATATTGAAAGAGCAGAGGGTAGGACGTGATATCGTCATGATGACACAGCATAAGAAAGAGATCAGTGTCTTCTATGACTGTTTGGGCTTTATGAGCATTATATCAAACTGCTGTCTGTACACTTATCACATCTGCATCTCCAGGAGCATACAAGCACTTTCATCCTGCGTATTCTAATATCTCTCTCAGCTTGAAAACAAATTGGTGTTTAATTTGAATCATTTTCCAAGAAGAGTTATTTCTTTGTTCTGATGGTGATGCTGCCATTGAAATAGACCTCTAGTCCAATTACACCCCTTGATCACCTGAGGTGTGTGTGACATTGTTGGTAGATGATCCTGCTGCATATCCATGAAATACAATGGTGCAATGGTCGAAATGTCTGCAGTCATATTCCACACACACATACATATATGGCATACAGAGTCATTTTTTGCATCTCTGGGCCAAGGTACTCAATGTAGTATGAGCCACCATCAGGTACATACTGCATTTCATTTCTAGTTGGACTAGAGGCGCCACTCTCGTTGCCTACAGGTTTCCACAACGCACCTGCAAGTACTGCCTTGTTTTCTTGTCTAAGTGTTCCTGAAAATCGAAAGCGTTAACTTGGGAAGTAGCACAAATCGTTTTTAAGGATGCTTGCTGTGATTTCAATAACATGTCCAGCAGTCTACAACCGCGCTTTGTTATCCATTGTTACTATTTATGCACTCTTCTTGAATACGTTCTCATCAGAGCCGGATTAAGATTTTGTAGGTCCCTGGGCTACAGGTACTGTGAGGCCCCCAGTGATATTTTTAAAAGGATAAAATTAATCACGACAGTCAACAGTTCATCATATACGTGATGTAATAACATACTATAATTATAAACTTACAGCAGTAATTGTGAACACTTCTCACTTAATCTCTGGAGGCCCTCCAGCTGGCAGAGGCTCCTGGGTTGCAACGCTTAAAGCCCATGCCTTAATCCGGCCCTGGTACTCATAAGCATTAGTTCCCTTCCTTGACTGAAATATTATCATTCCAACAATCATTATCCTGTCAGTATTAACAGCATTTTCAGGAGTCACACCTGTTGCAATATATCTTGTGTTATATCTTGCAAAGAAATGGGATCTCTTCAGATACTCTAGAAGCTTTCTGGCATCTTTATCTCTCTTGTTTACCTTGGCGTGGGAGGCTTCGTTGTGCTGGTCACTTGTCACATAGTATATGCACCAGTGATTTCTTGCATTGCACCACTGACGTCAGAGCATGCTGAGTGGATAGAAACCATTGTGCAGGCTGGGACTCTGACTTACTCCTGCTCGAGTTAACCCTCCAGTGGTTTTCATGGCTCTCATGAGCACTTCCTCTATCACCGGATCTGATAACAATCAATCTTAATATCTATAACTAATGTGAGTAACATGTTGCCCAGACTCGAAGGCCATGAAGACATGTTATTCACAAGAGTGACAGATACTAAGATTTGGTGATAGAGCAAGTGGGAATGAGAGTCATGAACACCACTTGAGGGTTAACTCGAGCAGGAGTATGTCAGAGTCCAAGCCTGCACAGATGTTGTGAAAAATTTAACATCTGGTATAAATAAATAAATTCTGGTTTAGCACATAGAATGTGTTAAGCTGCCAAAAAATATGGCAACATTTCCTGAATAGGTTCCAGCTGGAGCTTCCGTTTTAGCATTATTATTATAATCAAATAATAAAGTGCTAAACTAATAAAGGTCATGCAGTGCTGCAAGGCAGAAAATAGTGCCAAGGCTATAAACAGCTAGGTGGAGAGGTAAGGGTAGAAAAGGGCTGTAAGGGACGCTAGGGGATATGCATCAAAGTTTGTGTAGTAAAGCAGTTGCTGGCAAAAAATAAAAAGTGATCGTAAGTCAAAGGCAGGACTGTCTGCAAGAAGTGAAGATAAGGGAAGAGCAATAGGGTGGAGACGTCGTTGGAAGCAAATCCTGCGAGCTCGCTGGTAAACCAGACAATTCACAAGAAAGTGAAGAACTGAAATAGGGACCTGACAGAGATCACAGAGAGGAATAGGGTGTCATTCCATGAAATAACCATGGGTAAGTCGAGTATGCCCAATTCAGAGACAGGAGGGCGCAGTCTCCCGGGAATGGAAACAGTGGCAAGAAAATGGTCACAAACCTAAAATCAAACCTAAGATCGGTTTAATAAAGAGCAATTTGTTATGGTGCATGTTCGATCACCGTTGTTGCCAGCAGGAGAGAGACTATAAAATAATCCCGGAATGGAATACCTCTATAGGAAACCGGAAGGTCAAGTACCACTGACCACGCAGCAGCATCCACCCGTTCTTTTGCCCTGCACATCAATGTGTCCAGGGACCC